AAACAACGCAAGAATTGCAATTGAGTACTTTAATTACATTATTTACTACTACTGCGAAGACAAAATGTAGATACTTTGAATTTGTATCAGTAAATTATTGCTTACAGAGGCATATGCATTCTGTTTAAATTCCTCGGGTATTCGTCAAGAGGTTATACATCTGATTCATCTACTTCACCATTCAAGCCTTTTTCCTACAGGTAAACTCTTCCCCAAGGGAACGAAGAAATTTCCATCTCCTGTTTTAGGAAGCATACTTCATCCCTCGAGTGACTCCCAATAGCACCCTGGGTGGAAATAAATAGTTAAAAATACACAGGGGGTGTGGGGGGGGGAGGGGGTTGACTTCCTCTGAAAATTAAAATAAACATTCTTGACGTCATGGCCATTCCCTAGGCATCATCCAGGACAATTATAAATTATCTTGAAACCAAGCATATAATTCCTTTGTCATGACCATTACTAAATTTACTTGAAAAGTATAAGCAATTTAAAAATCAAGGTTGTTTTCAAGCCTTTGGGATTACTACTTCCTCGCACACCTAGATAGTTCGATTATTGTTTAATAATTATTTGGCAATAGAAATCAACTTTTCGTATTTAAGTAATATGAAATAAAAAATTTCGTTTCCTAGATTAGTTTAGATTAAAGTAAAGAAAGCTATGTTCTCCCCTCCCATATCAGTTCCGTGTAGCCTAAAACACAAACGACAAAGCAACATCAAATATATAAAATGGAAAAATCTAAAATAAAATATATTTGATGTATTCCGTACAACAGCATTCCCATTCGAACCTGTAGTTAAGCATGGAAGTGGAAACAATATTTTGTACACCGATCTTGAAAAACGCATTCTAACTACTCTATTTGCCACTTCGTGTAAAGTAAAATGTATAATTGAATTCAGCACTTATGATTTATGGTGAGGCTTCACCATCTCGAAGACAAACGCTTTCTTGTGTATTGCAGACAAGCTAGAACAGTTATTTTAATGCTTACTTTGCCTTTAAAATAGATTTGTGTGAACTTTCCTTTGAATTCAAACTGTTTTCGATGGTTGGAAACACATTTTCGAACTTAGAGAAGCATAAAAACTTATCTACCAGTCCAAAGTCTAAGTCGCCTATTCTTTAAAGCAATGCCAGGTGATTCCTATGAGCCTAGCATTCAAAGTAAATTTCGCACAGTATTCACGAGAACGCGTTTTTCGATAATCTCATTATAACTCTGCCAAATGATTGCAAATGCTTAGAAAAATTACTAGTTAAGCATTTCATGAGAGCTGAATTAGTATCGACTTAAAGTGCTCAATATTCCGATGCTTTAAGATTTTCCTAAAGACAAGGTGATTGTAATGTCCAAACATTGGAATGCAATCTCCATATCTGATAGTAGATTAATGTTGTAGTAGTTTCAAGACGATTCAATGCGTACAGTAGATGGATTGACTTATTAAATTTCATAAAACAGAAATAAAGGCTATATATTTCTGAAACTGATATAATCAATGCAGCCAAACTTGCTTTATTAACAAGCGATCGATTTGATTTAGAGTACCATTCTATTTCTCAACGAACTAATGGTCTACTTGCGTTAGGTAGAAAAATTTTTATTTTCAGTTCATTGGATCGAGTACTCGTATAGTCACCTTACACGTACAAAAATATCGATTTTAGCATTTTCACTCTCGAATATCAATGAAAAGACCACCATCTATCGCTGCCAATATTGGTCGATTAGTCAGCCAATCATTTATCGATTTTCCAACTTAATAAAAAGTTTTCGCACTGGTTGGTTGTCGATTGAGCCGTAACCCTACTTCCCTGCTCTTTGAAAGAGTTGAGTATTTGAAGTTTTACAAAACTGGCAAATAATAGTAAAAAGCACTCAAAAGAAAAACTGTGAATTTTAAAAACAATCGAAGAAACGAACAAGTGAACCTCAATCATGATTATTGACAGGGGATATTTTATTAAAGGTAGCTTTTTATTCCATAAAATGATAGTTGCGTGATCTAGGGACTTCAATAAAGAGTTATCTTATCTCAAAATGTAGAATAGCGTCTTTTACAAATTCACTGGGTAATCTTAAAAGTCTCAGAATAGGATGAATTAATTTATTCGCACAAAATATTTTTGGAAATTAAAGCACCAAATTCAAAATGAGCCATATTTCCATCACCATATTTTCAAATTTTTATTTGGATGCAAAGGGTTTTGGAAAGGAGAATGGTACCGAGTCCTATATGAGAAGTTTCAATTTGCGTCAAAATTGCATAATTTGATTAAGCAACGTACTTTCATGTCTACTCGCTTACTTAAGTAGAGTTTTTTAATTTTGAAAAATAACTGCATATAAAATATTTCATAGCAATAATTAGCAAAAAATTTGACTTGCCTTTGGGATTATCCAATTACTTCAGAAACTATGATACGAGAATACGAATGTACGGTATTAAATAATGGATTAATTGAAATAGTAAGTTTATTATCGCCATGAGTCATCATCAGTTGTGTATTCTAGAAATCGATTTTCAAACTTCTCAATGATTTAAACTTTTGAAGATCTTAATTGCAATTTGTCAGTAATGCCAATTCAATTAAGAGTTTAACCTATGATAAGTGCATCATTTTTTAAGAGTGTTTATTAACCGTAGAAAAAACCAAAGTTGTAATTATATCCGTAAGGCATTTTATGCTCACTTAAATTTCGAATTGACGCTCTTCGTTCAAAAACGCCACAAATTCCTTAAATCGTCATTCTTATCTTGCGCTTATGAAGTATAAATGAGGCAAACGACAGGAGCTATTCGTCCTCACTTTCATTGGCGAGAGAAATCCCATAGGGTATCTACGTCATCGTGTATTTCGCCAGACACATTTGGTTCCTACTAAGTGAATTCACAAATAGCCTTGCCGAACAGCATTTTCAATATTGGATGTTCTATAAGTATTCCCACATAAAGTAATTTTCAAGCTCAATAAAATTTCGTAGAAATAATAAACATTAAGGAACTGGGGAACTTCAGGAGATATAATTTTCAGCATTGCACACTTTACGATTATCAACCGATTCTAATCGTTGCATAGACCTACACTAATTGATTCACAGGTCTTCTTCGTCCCCCAACGCCCCCTCCCCCGCTGATTCGTTCCTCTCCCCGGGATGTCAGTTAATAAAGAACTCGAAATCAGTCACACTCATTCCCTCCTCCCCCACCCACCCCCCGAATCTCACTCATTATTTCATATTATCGTCAGGACGTAGTTTGTCCTATGAGGGAATATCTTGCCTTAGTCTGACTCTTAGAGTATACTTATTTGTCATTAAAGCTACTTTGGGTGGTTCTCCTTTCAAATAATATCAACATTGTCAATCATTGTCATTTACGAAAAATGTCCTATTAAAAATGTCAACTAAGTATTCACAAAAGAGTGAGTTCTTCTTATAGTCGCTGTTGATTAAATTGAGAAAATGGGCATTCAAGGATGTGTATTTATGCTCACACTTCAGGCAGACTATTGCCATCTTCATAATAATATTACAGAGCAATTGCTAGTTAAATTAATTTCAACAATACTAAATTCTTTATATCTTCTATCATCTTATTCAGATTTACTGGACTTTTAATCGCATATTCTCCCTCAGGCTGTTTCCGAAGTTCTGTTCTAGAGATTTACATTTATTGATTTTTCTTCCTTTAAAAGCATTTCGCCTCAACAACTGAAGGTTATCGAGTGGTGAGGGTACTAGCTAATACTGAGAAAACTGCATTCTGGTCACGAAGATAAGAAACGAAGGCTCCAAGACAAGAAAGTTCCTCTACAAGTGAATCAACCATACCAATTTTGATAGCTACCTGATTATGAAGGCACAAACCATTTAAAGTGACCATGTATATATATCAGGCAGACCCTGAAACAAAGATGCGGTCGTCTTAGTAAGCCACAAAGAGTTCGAATTACTGCAATTATAAACAAGAGTAGCACACCCTTTTCACTCCCCTTCTCTGAACCACCAATACACGACTAGGCCTCTTCATCTCTAGTTTTCCCTATTGGAATAGATTTTATTAAACTCCAATGGACCGACTCAATCAGACTGTCAAAGTAGCGTCCCTTAGGAATGGCGCTAAGTCAAGTTCATCTCAATCAGAGAAAACATTTCCCCTTCTTCACCTTACTCTTCAAAATTTACTCCCCTAATAAGTGGCTTTTTAATGCCTGATTGAAGTAAATTTAATATGAATTCTAGTTTAGACTTCAGTTAATTGGATTTTTCAGTAAAATTCCTGCATTAATCTTTAATTTTTTCTAAATTCCTTGACTCCGGTTACTTAAAGATTGTATTATCAACTAAAGCATTTGGATTTCAAATAAAGATAGTGACAAATCGGCTGAACTATTGTTAGCAAAGTTTAGATCAATGATATCACCACTCTTTCGCTAACTTTGATTAAGGTTATACTCAAACAGGTTCAAATTTTGTAAACATGCTTAATGGCTGAATGGGTTACTGAAATCAACTTATGTCAAATTTGTATTACAACTCTGGCCGTTTCATGGGCCCTTTTCGATCTTAGAAAAAATTTCAATCATTTTACATATTTGTTCAATTTATTTAGTGATGGCTTATCAGGCCTGAAACAAGAAAATATTATTGAAAAAAAGACTTTGTAAAGCTAGATGTAAACCAGGTAAATATGCAACAAAAATTCAATTCATACATTCTCACACACAGTTCCCAGGTAGACTTGAAACTGCGATTTAAGCAAAGCTTTGGCACCGTCAAAATGAGCGCACATAATTGTCCTTTAGCAAATTTGAATTTGCGATAAGCACAAAAGAACGTAATTTGGAGCGTCACAAGGAGGTCAGGCGCACAAAATGGTTCACTCTGAGGTGAACTTCGCACGATGTAGCGCACAAAGACAGTGTGAGGTCACTGCCGATCCGTTATAAAGACCGTTCATTTCTTTAGAGCCCTCATTTGTCCTGGTATGATTTCTGGCAGCACAGGAGGCATTGCTGGTAGCCCTCCCCACGATTTTTCAGCCCCAAATGTCGAGCAAGTTTACATTTTCTGGACTTATTTCTTAAAAATATGCCCACATTTCATTAAAATTGAATCAAAATATTAAATTATAGATCCATTTTTGCCCAGCCAACTTGCTGTTGCGGTTGCTGTGGGCTTCAAAGCACAAATCAATCCGGAAAAAAGCCAGTGAATACAAATTCTGGAAAGCAGACTCAAGTTCTTTCCTTCCCTGATTCCAAGGCTCCTGTATGTATCATAGTGCTTTAAATTCCCTCAAAGTGGATTTTATAAATAAAGTATCCCATTTTTTTTTCATAAAAGCTTTCGGGATTTAACGAAAGGAGCCGGATTAACATATCAACCTCAAGGGAAACGTCTTGGAAAACAGATTTTCAATGTCCGAGTTACTCCGGGTTTAAACCTAATGAAGTAATATTGTTAGAAAGCATAAATAAGTAGTACTTGCTCACGAAAATTGACTCGTTTCGTTTCTTTAGACTCAAATTCAATCTGTGGGTCAAATGCCCCAGCAGCACTGCTGTTTTCCACCAATAATGAGTGGAGGCAGTGTTGAAGTGGTCAAAGTCGGAGAAGGTATTCCAATATTCCATTATTTCTCATTTCATTTAAACAAACTGGTTCTAACAACGAATTTACTTTGATGTTATAGGTCCACCGCTAACGTGGGCTGATTTACAAAGACATGGTAAATAAATAAATATATACAGAAAATTAATCAGTTATAAACTATTCAATGTATTAATATACTTATAATTTTTTGTTTACTTAAATTCCATTTTTATTTTATTTGGAAAGGCGCGTTTGCATTTCCGGAGGGAGACGATTGGGCAACGCCGGTACAACCTCAGAGACCATCACCAGTTCAACAACCCCTTCAAATGCCATCGCAAAAATGTCAATCATGGAAGACTTTCAGTTCAAGTGAACAGAAACGTACACCAATTTCTGAATATAGCAATTGGTCACAACGAAAGAAAGCCCCTCAAACTGTTCTGGAGATTCCACCTGAATTCATGATTCACCAACCAGCACCGCTGGCACAAGTACAGCCACAACAAATGGGGAATCCAAAGCCGATGAACTGTTTCTTTGATCAATCAAAACTCACTACAACAACTGCTCAAACTGAATCTGCCGTGAACTACCCCCAACACTGTCATCACCCTATGGTGGTGTCATATCCATATGCCTATAATCAATGCTCATGTGGAGGACAGAACTACGGCGTTGAACCATGGCAAAACCCTGGAGGAGAAGCTACCACCACTCCGATGAGACCAATTTCCGAAGTTCAGCAACAAAAAAAGTTCAGCTTACCGCCGGCCAGTCACCACTCCCCTGAACAGCGCACAAGTTATCGTGCTAAGCGCATCTTTTGAGCTCAACGACTGAACACAAAACCACTCATCGTTGACGCCGTTAAGCACCACCAAAATGACCTTCACTTTACTTTAAGGAAATAAAGTCTGAAGGCAAATGATAAAACTTATTTACTTTTTATTTAAAATTGTTGGGATGACTTCAAAAAAGTAAGATATGAAATGCAAGTTTTATTGCTTAAGTAAGAAAAGTTGAATTAATAAAGGTTTTAAACACTAATTTATCCCAAAATAACGTGAAAATTTATGAGGCTATCTTATAAGTTGGACCTCAGGTAATGTTAAATTAGAAAGACCAAAAGGTGAATATACTACTTTAATTTATCCCTACTGAAATATTTAAGTAGCCCTTTCACTACTAAGATAGTAGGACAGAGTGAATAATTCTTTTTAACGAAGATTAGGGCCCTTCGACTTAAATGCTTTCCTATTGGCTCGGCAACTGGAATAGAAGGACCAAATGCTCGATTATGATTAAATCACGAATTTGTATTATTTATTATATTTGTAGAATAAGGTTTGTACTTTCTCCAAAAAGGTATTGCTTTTGACATCAAATTAAAGTAGTAATCACGAGTTGTATTAAAATGATACTAAGAAGTAGCGGAAAGTTTCACGGTTGCTCACTACGCATCGGCTAGTTGGACAAAATTGAGACATTAACATAATGTTCATCACTAATTTCAAAATAATTTTGAATCGTCACACTATACCAGTGTCGTTCAGTAATAATGTAAATTTAGTATGATACAGTTCTTCTCAATACTCATTTAGAGGAGCAATGGTAAAGGCCTTAGTTTCTCAGGGTTTCAGGATAAAAGTTATCCTTGTTTTCCACTACATCTGAAGCATTACCAGATTATACTCTAATCAAAATGTTAGGCATTATCGTACTCAGACATTTAAGGTTTGGTTTGAGAAAAGACAGAGGATCATGGATAAAACAAAGATGTAAATAATGTCCATTAACTAATGAAGAGGGTACTTATCCTTACCCTTCGGACAAGTGGATGCCTACTCATACACAGAGGGGAGAAGAAATTTGGGAAATATCAAGACTTAAGTTGCTCCGAAAGTCCTTGTCGATAGTTAGTCAGGAGCAATATCGTTCATATTGGCAGTACCATTCGCATTTATTGGTCAGCTATTCATTTTATCATTTGACATCCTCAGAGCTGATGGTTTGACTTAAGTACGGAAAGTACATAATACGCAAATGCAAGAAGGTATTTATTGGACGGTTATCTACTTATCAGGCGTTTGGGATGAGCCTGTAGCAGAACTTAGTGATTACAATATAATGAAGGATTTGTAAAACAATGCAATGACAATTGATTGGTGGCTGGATAAGAGGTTTCTGCACTCACGACCGCACCTGTTCCCTACGCGACGAGTTGTACTGCAGCACCTCCGAGCCAACTAAACAATTTTGTTTATTTTACACAATGAGAGGAGTGTACTAATCTGGACAGGTTGAAGTTAATTCGATTCTTATGTCTGAAATTCCTTAGAAAGTTGGAAACTCCAAAATACTTTCTTTTTTAACGCAACACAACAGCACAGCAAAACCTTTATGCTCTGGTACATGCAAACGCGAATTTACAAGTATATATCAGACAGAATTTAGTTTAACAATTTTTTAAAATGCTTTCACTTTGTTCAGCAATGTAGTTTCAGTTCTACTTTAGTGGCAGTGAAATCTGTACACGAGCGAAATTTAACAGTGTAAACGAGCCCAGAATTGAACTGCTATAAATCTCGGAAAAGTTTGGTTAAGATGAATGGCAAGCTACATCGTAAAATAATAATCTATTGCTTTCATAAAATTTAACGAAACTCTTGAACTTTTGGTATGTCGGGTTTCTCTTATTTACTGGATTCTGACTAGGGATTACTGCAGGAACATGCTGCCATAATCAGCAATGGAAGCTTTTAACTAAAGTAAAACAATAATTTTTGTAATCTGATTGAGTAAAGATTTTTTGTTTGAACGAGGTGTCAGATGTACCGGGGGTTTAGTTGAAAATCACAGTGGAAGAGGTGAAGTGGGAAAGGAATAATTGAGTGGAAATTGAGATCTGTGCGAAGTAAAGCTAACGTGTCAGAGACTGAGATTATGCGTCACATATCCAACCAGTGATAATTCGTATACAAATGAAATATTACTCTAACACGAAGTATTTATATTTCCTCTAAGTAAAGCTCAAGGTCACCACTGCAGGCATACTAAACGCTCATTGACGGGGCTCCATAGAAATAAAGGAGTACGGAACAGGGCTCTTTCGAAGGCGAAGAACTCAAAAGCCAAACATTATTACCTTGTACTGCTAGGCATTTTAAAACGCATATATCTATTATAATCAAAGATATTAAATTGTTCATTAATGTAATTACTAAGTTTAAATTTCTTAAAAAAATGTTATAAACATGTTCGTTTGCAATTTTTTATTAACGTCGACTCCTCCAGACGTAAAGATTTGGATTCTGAGCTGTCTGGGCACATTTTCACAAATTAACTTTATTCTTCCACATCGTTAAGCTTCACTGGTCGTCTCTTTTAAGACCCAGCGCCATTCGTCATGAAGAGTCCTAAACCTAATTTAACCCTTCAACGCCATAATTATTTTTTGAGAAATGCACCCAATGACACTTACACGCGTGTCTCACAGCTGACTGATGCCGTCCACGTGAGGCTATTGAGACGTATTGAACCAATGAGGATATTTTGAGAGAGGACCGTACGGTCCTAACGGTGTTGCAGGGTTACGTTGCCATTATTTTCACATATACATGAACATATGGAACTAAAGGAAAGACCAATTTTTGAGAACTATCATTCAAATTTTAAGTGAAAGCGTTTTAGAAGTTTGAACCGCCCTATTTATCACCTGGCCTCTATTGACGTAATTGGTACTTAATTCTGCGAGATTATAAATGAGGTCCTTACCAATTACAGAAGTCAATAAATGTATTAGAGCCAGCACAATTACTTTCCTGTTTCCATAATCAGACCATTGTTTAAACGCTTTACATTATTTTTCAAGATTATTTCGTATCTCTATATGAACTTTTTCGGAATATGCTCTCGAATTGGCAATAGGGCTCGAGGCATCCACTTGTTCTAGATGCACCAATGACCACGCCTGTACTAAGAAATTCCTGAGTCCGAAGTTCGAATTCCAGAGAGATTGAATGAATTTTCCAAATATGGGCTGACTCATTATAAGAAGTGGCATGCATCCTTCTTATTGGTTCCTCACTAACGTCCCACCATCCGAGAAAATACATTCTTAAGTAGTATTTTTATAACGATATACTCAGTTGTTATGGAAATTGACAAAAAGCGTTAGGATCATATAATCGAATCATCGAGTTCATAGGTAATACGGGTAATTGGCTTTTAACACGATTATTTCTGAGTTATCGCTTCCATGTTGGTATAAAGCCACAAATGAATTTATAAGTTAACCGCCTTTGCAGTTATGTTTCGGTGATGGTAAGGTTGAAACTTTAATTTAATTGTAGCAAGGCGATCAAAAGCTCTAAATTCAGATGCATAAAATAGTGCTCCTTTGCACGATCATTGTCTACACATATAACCGCATATCCGTCCAAAAAATTATCGAACCCATTTCCTCGGACCTACAGCCACAGATCAACCAATATCGACCTCCTGAGTTCGAAACTGCTCAAATCCTAAAAATCAATGATAATTAGAAGTTTGCATTTGTTACTTGTAATTATATTGTCCATCTAAACCGATTTCAACTATTAGTATTCACATCAGAGCCAACTGCGTAGTTTAAAATCTAAGTGATATTACCGCATACATTCTTTACTTTAGTTTCAAAAATCAGTTCCCGTGCAACAGGGTAAATGATAAGTGGCAACAATGGCACTCCGACTCAATGGCCTACTCACTGGCCCCTAACTCTATCATCCCTCTCAACTACTCGTCGAAACTGATGTATTCTCTTTCCACCCCAATTTTCATTCCTCTATCTCCTCTTTTCCCATCCCATTCATTTTTAATTGCCCAACACAGAGATTTCCTCTTATCCAGCTCTTGAACTCCCTCCCCCCCCCCTCCTCCCACCCCCAACTTCCTCTAGGAAGAACATCAGTCCTTAGGAAAGTCTTCCTGCCAAGCTTGGTCTAGCTCCTAAATAGCTTCAAATGAAATTGGAGCAACTTGATGTAAGTCAGATTCACTACTCGCGATTGCCATTTTCACGAGAATCAAACTTAATTTAAAATTTACCCTTGATCTATTGTTCAATTTGAATGCACATGACAAAATCTTAACATTAACGCCCGAATTATTTTGTACTCAAAAAGTTATATCCTACTGTTTTTCCTAGCTAAGAAGGTTTAAGTAGACATCTTGAAAGCATTTTATTGATATTACCTTTAGTAATGCAGAAAATTAAGAAAATGACTTTACTGTCTCATCAGTCATGCAAAACAAAAATTTTAAATGAACCAAATGGTCCACTTGAGCATATAGCACAAAGGAATGACTTTTCTGCTCTTAACATTACCTTGATAAGCTATTACTATTCCCTTATTGAATGTTAAACGAGATTATTTGAGAACCAAATGAATACTCCTGTTTAACATACATACAGCAGAAGCATAGAAAACTCGCATTATTATTATTTCATTAAAACGTAAAAATGCACCCAACATCACTCACGCGTGTCTCACAGCAGACAGATGCCGCCGACGTGATGAATTTTGGTGGTATCCAAGGAAGACTATATACGTCTTAAACATATCTCAAACAGCAATATCAACTCCTTTTACAAGTCTAGCACAAATGAGAACATTATAAAAGAGATTGTAGATTGCTATCACAAAGTGCGTGATCTTAGGATAACAGAGCTCAACAGAGTCCAACATTTGCTGAAGGTAGTTTTGAATGCAAACAAATTGCGCTACAACTCACAAATAAGTTTTAATAATCTAGTTGCCTTTTTGCTTTTCAGAAGTATAAGTTAACTTCGCATCCGGCTGTGGTTAGCGCAATTACTAAAAAGACGGATTTAGAGGTCACGGTCAACGGCAGTAAACGCCAAACAGCACACCACATTGACAAATTTACTTCTTGAACAAAATTCTTTATTTCTATAACCAAAATGTTTGACTGCTTCATAAACACTTTGAAAAGCAGCAAACAGGATTCAGATAACAAATTAAAGGGAAATTCCAGGTATTTTAGTCGAAGTTTTAGTTACTTATCCAAACCACCTTAGATTTATGATATTGTTATAAAACCATATGTAAAATTAACCCCCCCCTTTTAATTAAGCTAAAAGTTCTGCTGATCAAAAATGATTTATTATTTAAAATCTGTTTATTTATTTTGATATCTATCAACGCCAAGTTGCTATTCCTGTTTCAGCTTTCTGGCGACAAAATTGTATCGACTTAATGCACGGAATGAAGAAAAAAGATGCATTTCAACAAATTAAACCTTTATTTTGGTGTCAATAGTTTCAGAAGAATATCATATGATCAATAGGCTAGAACCTTATCAATCGAAAGGCTTTTTTTAGCAGCACCCATAGCCTCCTCCGTAGCGGTAGGGTGCGAATGGACCAGTGTTGCTCCAGCCGTGAGGTGGTGCAAAGTTGCTACCGCAGGTGATCCAAGAACTGAAGGTAAAATAGCAATATAAACAGTGAAATATTCAAACACATACGTCAAAACTAAAAGCATTAGGCAGGTAAAATTACTCTCTATTCAAAAAATTGATTTAAACAGCTGTTCTTTAAGTCTAAGCCAAAGAAAATCGATAGTGACTCTTGCAATGAAGCATGATTATACTCAATTGTAAATGCAACTTACTGCCCTGGGAAGAATCCACAAGGGTCGGTGACGTAGTCAGAACAGACCGTTCTGCAGACATTACAGCAACCGCAACCACAACCGCAACCGCAACTCATTTCGAAATTCTGAGCGATGATTTCTGATCTGCCCGAATAATCACTTTATATACCCTTTTGCCAGGGGAGGGGGTTAGAAATTTTTCACGGGGTGAAGTGCGCAGTGTCCTCGAAAATGATCATTTTCCAGGACAAATTTTGGTGGTTGCGTGATTTAGTGCGCAATTGAAAAATCGAAAAAGGAACTCACCAAGTTGAAAGTACTTCTACAAGCGCAAAGTAGCCATCCAAAAATTAAGCTTGACAACGAATGTTATTTTGAGTTTTCAACTAATATTTACATTGTACTGGAGAATAATTGTGAACATGTGAAATGGGAAAGAAAGCTTCATTCATTCTAAGAGTCTTGGTTAAAAATTTGTAAGAAATTTTAAAAGAACACTAGTTTTAAAATTCAATTTAAAGTAAATTGGAGTAGCACGATGAAGTTTATCAATTTGTAAACACACTTGATCTGCCTATTCGTGGCTGTCAGAAAGTACAAAGTGCCAATTTCAATAAAATCAATTGGTCTGAGGGCATGTGCTCACGTAATGCAATCCAAATTACAAATAGGAGAATTTTAATACCCTGAATTCAGTATTTTTTTCATTCTGACCTACACAAAGAAGACAATTTTGTCCCTTCATGTGACCAGATGCAATCTCTTGATTGAATCTTCTGTTTGCTTTTATTACTTAAAATACTTTCAATTTATGAAAATATGGATAAATTATTAAAAAATTAAGGACTTAATGGGAATTTATATTGCACAAATCTTGTGAAGCATGTGTAAAAATTACATAAGAATGAAGACATGGGTTCAAAGTAGTAGGTATAGAACGTGCTTTGGATGGACGAAAGTCGTTAGATCTTTTAAATAAATGCTTAATTGATATTTTAGACCAATAAGGTAAAAATGCGTCATAATATTTATTCTTTAACGGAAAATTCTCTAAAATATGGAGTATTATTATGAATTTACAGACCGGTCAAGGTTTGTCTGCCTATCCCTATTCTCTGTTCAATACGGGTCTCTTTAAATCCGAACGGATTTTTGGAACATTTTAATCTAATTTACCTCATTTTCTTCTTATAATATTATGCGAACACTATACAGAGCATTAGTTACCCAAAAGATAATATCAACCACCCCAACTACAAACGCGAATGGATTATTGTTAATACTGCTAAACCTTATTCTTCAATCCATTCGATTTTAAGTGTGAAAAGTGACTATTTTCGGCTACTTATCTGCCTTAGTCCATTTATATAGACTGGTTATAAACAAAAAAGGATTGTTTTCAACACGTATAACAATTCACTGAGGAAACTGCTCTGGTTAATTCGTCACCCTGGTACAGATGAAATGAGCGATAATCCAAATTCGTGTTTCAGGAAAGTATTTATCCTGGAGCTGATGTAATTTTCTGTAAAATATCAGAATAGAATGAAATTTGGCCTGTCCATTATCTTTAATTTGAGGAAAACTTGGGGGAACAAATTTCTTGCTAGGCCGGCATCAGCTGCGCTTTTCTATTTTTATTGTCAAACTGCTCAAATTGTTAGGTATTGCTGGTGAGCAAAAGCCATCCCCCCCCCCCCAGGGCCTCACTGTTTCCCCATACTGCAAAAGTCACTTCGTCGCACAAAATTAATGAAATATAATATAGAGTTAATAAATGATAAATGACTCAAAATTTTGGTTTGTTTCCACACTTGAAATCGATCTAATACAGCTTATTCCCTCCCCTTGAAAGACTATCTGAGAGTGGGAATCAAGAAATAAATAAATATACATATATATGTTTAATTTAAGTCAAGTCTCCTCAAAGTCTTTGTGTTGCAACTCAAAAAATGCTGATTAAAAAATGTTTATAAAACCTTTTCACAATAAAATTATTTCAGCTCTCATCTTGGATTAGAGTCTCCTTGGCAAGAAACTCCAATACTGGCGCACAATAACGTCATATTTTTGCTACGGTTCAAGCTAATTTTACTGATAACCCCCCCCCCCTCATTAGACCTATAAGAATTAACGACTTTTTGGTATTCTAAGATCCCTCTCACCCCCTTCCATATATCATTGGTGAGACAGAAAAAGAAGTTGAATTTTTACATTGAAATTTCGAAAAGCCGACTTCCAGGAGCTGTTTGCGTTATAATTTTCCCACATTATTGAATTGTAGCTTGCTATCACCAGTCCTGAACAATTCTCAATGATTTGGTTCTTTTTTACAACTAATTAACATAATCCTTATAAGTGGAAACTTTGCCCCATTATAAAATTTCAATCTTTTGTAAAAAAAAATAATTTTTTTGATATAATCCTTCGCCAGATTGATCACAAATCACCGATATAGGTCTAAATAGAAATGCTAGCACGTGGTATACTCGAGGTTGGCGTTATTCATCAATATCTGAAAAGCATTCCAAGTAACGAAGTCCAGATAAAGACTGGAGACATCCCAATAAAATTAAAGTTCCACAAGGACACGATGTGAATTCTCATATGTGAAGAGTTTCAAAGAAATCCCCTACTTTGGGTATTCCATTGAAAGTATATGAATGCTAGAACACTTATTAACGGATATATTTGCAAACTAAGAGGATATCACGACATTTCAACGAAGTGATCTTGTAGAAAAACAGATGACTGAGAACGATTTCCCAATGAAGTGTACATTATGGATATTTAGAGACCTTACTCACCATAAACCTTGCATTACTGGGCTAAAAACATGGGCTACATATTTCTCAATGGCGAAAATAAACCCCCTGGATCATAATTCGTAATAAGACGTAAAGAAATAAAATATTTCTTTGTTTACTCTTGGCCAAACAAAATTTATATATCCATTAATTAATGAATTGGTCAAATTGGTCACGTTAAAGATAATAGTTCCAGAAGTCAAAGTCGAAGTGGCAAAATTTTATTTTTGCAACGTTATCTTTTCAAAGTTTATTTTTCCCAAGTGAATTTAACTCTCATCAAACTCAAAGATAACTGACGAGTTTATTTGAATGGGATGACGAATGGACCAATCTGGAGGTACTTGTATTTTGAGTGCCAAGAAGATGTCATGAAGACGAAGCACAACAGCATCTATTTAAGTAGTGTATCAGTGATAGAAAAGTTTTAGCAGTTAAATTCGTTGAATTAACAATGTTTTCGGAGTAGATCAAAACTAAATATCTTACTTTTCGTTGATGCAAAATTAAAAATTTACTCGGAAAACAAGCTTATTGTTTTGTGAAGTTTAAACACATTCTCCCCTTTTGTGACAGAATGTTTTGATTGATTGTTGTAATCGATACTTTAAGCAAAATGTATTTTATTGATTATTAAATGAACATATTTTGACAAATTTATCGAAATAAAAGTGGCATTCCAAAGGTTATTTTTAACACAATTTACTAAATTTGTCCAAAATTTTAATCGAAATTTGTGTCCTTAAATTGTAATACGTAATTTAGCCCTATTTGTTCAATTTCCACGCTCTGTCTACCTTCGTATTTCACAAGAAACTCGAAAAAGAATCGACAAAACATTCCTCTGAACCACATGAACTAACTGCGTGTTTCCATGTGAGCTGAGGACTCTCAAGTCCTTAGGCTGCTAATTCGTTGTATGGAGACTGCGTAATTAGACCCTAGAAAAACGATGCAAACGTCTCCTATAAAAGAGAGTCGAATTTCGGCTTAAACACAGTTGTCTTCAACGCTCCATCGAAAAGAATGTGCAGCACTGGTCAATGTACACGTCTCGGCGCTGACCCAAATGTTGTCTACCCAGTCAAGTATGTAGCTTTTTTGTTTCAAATGCAAGGATTGCTCACTTCACTTTTAATTTTCTTATATATATATACATACATATATTTGACTTAATTCCACGCCATTGAGTGCACATTTGACAGTCTCGATTGGCCACGCTTGTTTATTGATTTTTAGGGCAACCACTTGTTGCAAAACTCGCTACACTGTTTTAAGACCAGAGTACTATGAATGCACTCGTTGCTACGAGACTTGCACTCCATGCAACGTGCCATGCGCTCCAAACAACTCACCTTGTGCAACAGCCTGCGGCCCACAGATGTGCTCTGGTGGAGGATGTTGCCGCTAATTGCGGTAATTTCGGAAGCTTAGCCGAGTCTAATTGAGCATCAAGCCTCTCTCTCTCACTTCAATGTATGTTTGCGTTTGTCTGTTTGAGTGATCCTGTGTGCTTGTTATCATCTTCTGGTTGTTAAATATAAATTTCTTCAAATAGAAGAGCTTCCTTAGTATTTGATGCCTTTTAATTTGTCTACTGTTGATATCATGGACTTTCAACGATAATACTAGCCCAGATATTTGCCTCGCAATTAGATCCACTTTGGGTGTAGGATAGTGTTTCATTGACCATTATGATAAAAGAAACCAAACGTTTGGAATAGATTTATGTAAAATTCGCGCCTATCAACGAGCATGCTGGAATTTTGAATAATTTTGTGCATGAAAATTAGCCGGGAAGTTGTTTGTTACTTAATTTTAGATTTCAGCTGGAAGTGGGATATAGACGTGGTAGTTGCCGATGAAATGCCTCTGGTTCATTAGGAATCGAAAGATTCTAGTTTTTAATCATATCACAAGGATCCTGTTTTATTATAAGTGACATTCCGAATAACCCACTTTTGAAGAAAAATAGGTATGAGAGTTATTAGTGGTTGAAAATCTATATTAGTTCTAAAATACCTTTGCTCGTATTAAAGGTATGAATTAAACATCGAAATGTGTGGTTTAAAAGGTAAAATGCGACAAACGTTTTTGAAAGTTATGTTATTTCTAATCGTTTGAGTGCATTTTACATCGCTTTTTCTACACTGCCTGTTGAAGACTGGTATTGTATTGGGTTTCATGAGAAGTGGTTTTCCTTCTCTTGAAATTTCCTAGTCACGCTCTACAAAATCCGAATCAAAATCATTGGGTTTCAGAAATCCCACGAGCACAAATAATGGAAGATTTTGTTACTATAATCTTTATTTCGGAAAGAGTTTAATTGATGTGATTTGGACTCATAGGTATTGAAATTAACTGGCATATATTAATAGATCTCTTGATTTTATTGTCAAGTCAAAAAATTTTCTGATCATCTAACTTAACTGAATGATCTATTTGTGATAGCTTGTAAAGAAATACCAATTAAAAGCATGTAGTGCCATTATGATGGGAGTTAAAAGGAACTAAAGCATGATTCAAAATGCCAATTTATTGTCAATTTTGCACTCTCTAATGCTCGAATGAATCATTCTACCTCCTCAACACTTATTTGCATTCCCTTCTACCCTCTCTGCACTGGAATTTTCCTCTAATCAACTATCCGATTTTTTACTCACTGTTAAGTACTGGTAGGCGTTAAGAAATGTAATTTTAGGAGATAAACCTTATCAGAATAACATTTACATTGTCACACAAACTTTACCTATACTAAAATGGTTTATCCATTTGTACTCGCAAATGCAAGCAGGCATCAATTCCCCCACCCCCACTCCCCAGGCACTTTCCCCAAGATAGGAACTTCGACCATTTTATTGGAAGATTGGCTTAAAATCAGCAGTCTCTACACAAGAAGAATTCCTAAATATATTTATCCTTCAAGAGATGTGCGACAGACTTATCTCCACGTTGTGCACCCTGGGCAACATGTACTCATACTCAAAGTCTAAATCGGCAGTTGACTTCTCACTTCAAACTACTATGACCTCACTCTATGTCATTTTCGACCACTTCCACAGTACTCATCTTAACTTTTCTCTACCTTTATGTCTGTCTGTCTCTTTTACATCTGTGAATCACTCTTCTGTTCTCCAACCCCTCGACTTGTTGCCATTTTGATGTTTGTCTTCTCTGTGAAGCCCGAAGCCAACTAAAGGGCTAATGATAGCTATCAAAACGCCTACATTTGAAATAAATAAATAAATATATATTATCCTTCAAGCCGCCATATGATAACATAAATTATCGTTTCTATTTATTCAAAACTCTGAAGAGCAATAACTGAGATTAGTTTGCTCTCTATTTGATCGGATCAATTAAATGAGTCGGTGATGGATAATAGTGAAAGTCAGGAGTCTTCATAAGTGCATTCGCCGATATTTTGCGCTTTCGTTGCATCACTCAAATTGACTGGTTTTTCCTCTATTCTAATATCGCTTATGCAACCGACAAAGCCGCCAGTGTTTCGTACAACTTCAGTTCCGAAAATAAATTCTCGTTGAAAATTGAATTTATCGATTAATGATTGGGGTACACCACCTAAATCATAAATATCACTTGAGACAACATACCAACATAGAAGACGGTTTGATTGCAATCATAATTCCCAAAGTGTTCAAGATCAATGTAAATGACTGACTTCCCATCGACTAAAATTTCAATTTCATTTTCATGTCTAAATGAGAAAAATGAAAGAAAGAAACCACATGCCTCGTTAAGTTAAATATGTGCCATTTTCTTGGTGAAATCTTAACGGTTGAATGAAAAGATTCATGATTCCCGGAGGAGGTGCTGATTGGTCTATCAGATGCCCAACCAATAGGAAGGTCCCATGCAACCAAGCGAACATTCTCCCCATTGGTTGATAATTCCAAGAATATAAATTGATCTTTTGAACTTGATTTTGATTCGATGGCGAATAATATCTCATTTGAGGTCATATTCTTCGATTTAGAAATATTGGCGGATATTCTCGTTAATGTATTTAATTTCCTAAAAGGGATTTAAATTTTAAAGGGTAATTATTTACGTATTGTTTGTTATGACCCGTTTAAACAAGAGAAAACTGTCACTTTTGAAAGACATTTGAGAAAGGTGTTTGTGTGCTAAATCTAAAATTTTGGTTAAATCATAATTTCACTTACCGTATTGACATTGTTTGCCCGTAAACCCATTTGAGCAAACACATCGCCAGGAATTTAAATGAGGAATGCATTTGCCATTAAAACTGCACAGAGAAGATCCTTTTGCACAGTCATGTTGTTTACAGTTGACGACATTTATAGATTCAATCGGATCATCCAACAGGTCTAACCGTTGTCCGTTTATAAGTAACTAGAGAAAACGTTACAAAGAAATGAAACTTACAGATTGGACGCAACCAACAAAGCCTTTCACGAATTTATAGGAGACCAAGTCGTCGTGTTTAGGAATCAATGCTGAAATAAGATCTGGATTTGGATGTCCACCGACAAAAAGATTATCAGCTATCGTTAACTGAACTAGATTTCCTTGGGTGAACGATTTCAATCCGTCAGAGATGTGGGTGTCATTTAGATAAACATCAAAGCTCCGTCCTGATCTTTTCACACAAACAGTTTGCCAGGAATTTAAAGTGACATTTTGAGAAGAACTAAAAAGAAGAACCCTACTTCATATGGTCAATCATTTTAATTTCAGTTGTAATGTCAAATGAATTTCAATATAACTATCATTTATAGCCTCGTTACATAAAGGAGATGAATTTATTTGTTGCAAGGAAAGCGCCTTTTATATGTTTTGCTCCAGTAACCATAGCGTGCCTATCTGCGAAGTTAGAAGTCACGGACTGAGTTCTAACCATACGCATCCAGAGAGTGGAATCATCAACCACAATGGAGAATTAAAGTTAAAGAGGGTTTCACATCAATGCTTCAGGAGGACACTTCACTATGCCAGATGAATGATGGCAATCACTTCCGTTAATATACTTTGGAAACATTCCTGAGTTTCTTCAATACCAGAAAGTACATATTTTAACAAAATCGATAAAAACCCAGATTTTGTTGTCCTGAATCGAGGGTGATGCGTCCTCAAAGTAATATATTTCACTACATAAAGCAGAAGTGATTCAATCGTAATTAGGTGGAACTGGAGTACAGTAGGCCACATTCCATCCATTTTTTGAGGCAATATCGTTTGTCAATAAGGGAAAACACCAGACCTTGATAGCTTCCTATTAATCTAAACAATTCGACTCTACTCTACCACTCTTTAACTGACAGGTTTAAAAAAGTGGGAATTTTTGTTGAATACAATAAGTTAGTAAAGGCTAATTGTCTATGTAACAGATATCCTAAATCTTTGTAGTGATTGGCAAAATTGCCATAACTTATGGAAAAATCCAAATATACGAAGGTAATCATTGTCTTCTGATGGTCTCTCAAAATCCGTATGTAGGAACTCGAGAGCTGATCTATTATTTTTGAATTCTGAATATTAATACCGTTTAATAATTAACAAACTTATTATTGCTTGAATTAATATGTTTGTATTATTAATTCTACTCATCCAATCCCGGGGAACGTTTCTGTTTGATCAAAATTTAATTACTTCAATCACTGCATTTGAAATATTTCGTTACATCACTTCTTAAATAATTAATGTTCCCACGGTTTCATCCAATAAACTTCGATATTCAAGGCTCAAATTTAGGCTGATCATTTAGCTCACTCGAGTCACCCCGTCTTGGGTATCGGTGGAGTAATGACAATCGCAATTTTTCAGGGGTCACGATCGAAATGAACAATCGAGTTGGCAGTCAAATTGGGACGCAGACGTTGTGCCTTCCGTCAAAGAGGCTTTTATAATGCCACTCAATAAACCGGTAAATTACTATTATTTCAATCTTTTTTAAAACCTGATCGCCAAGATCCAATATCCGTAGTTTCTGGAATGTAAGGCATTGAATACTGCTAACTTACCACAACGAAATTGGGAGTAATCTTTTCGAATAAAATTTTGAAAGGAAATGACAGATTTAATTTACTCTAGCAAGTTGATTGGCAATTTTCCAATAAATCATTCAATGTTATAATGCAAAATCATCTAATTTTGTTTTCATTATATGAATTTGCAATATTTTTTAAATTTAAATTTTGTTTTTTTTCTTTTTTTGTTTTATTAAATGATTTGCGGAGTTAAATCGACGAGTTTTGTGGTATGTAATTGATATGATTTGCGAATTTTACTGACTTAAAGTTACAGAAAACTATAACTTTTGTGGTAAATTAACTCCTAAGTTCCTAGTAGTCGGATGGATGTTCAAAATCTCCTGGTAAATTTTCAAAAAGCAGTATCAATTTGGCGTAAGTAGTTAACACGCGGAGAATATTCTATTAATTCTGTGCTTCCGGAAAGGAGATAGAGGAGATAACTTCATACCACGAAGGTCAAAGGACATTCGGAGAATAAACCCTATATATATTATTGATCGGGTAAATTTTAAAAGAAGCGTGAATATATAATTCATCTTCCCAAACTTGTCCATTTAATAAAATGGAAGCAGATAACTTAAGCCAATATTCAACTATTTCGGACTGCATTCTAATAAACAAGCAACTAACCTTAGGTAGTTAATTTCATTGTTAGTTATGCTCACCCGTTCAGCATCGATTAACAAAAGTACTTGAAGAAATCGGTGAAGTTCAAGATAGAATAACCTCACTCATACGAGTGCAAGATTTGGGTAATTTAACTAAATTCACCCCGCTCCGACTTTAGAAATAGTGTTTGAACGTGGGGTGCGCGATAGACTTACCCCCACGTGGTGCACCCTGGACAACGTATCTTCATACGGTAAAAAAGTCTATCACTCGGCATTTAGTGCCAATGATAAATATCACAAAGCTTGCCATTTAAAATAATGTTTGAACTTTAAAGATCCTTTTAAGGCTAGAAATGATGTCCTCCTCTTATGGTTTTTTTCTCTACAAGAATGTGGAATTGAAAGACGCTCTGAAGCCTATTATTATTTTTAATTAAAACAAATTTCGGTTCGGGTCTACAAACAACATCTTCACCAGCAGATTGATAATACATAGGTAAATATACTAAGGAGACAAAACCACAGGGTTTAATCAATTGATCTTAAAAGCTTTAAAAATGGCAAACATGAGATCAGTAAGGAACTTAGGATCAGATGAACAATATAAAATAGTGAATTACATGGCTAAATGAAAAGGTGATATCTTGATATTACCTTGAACCTGACTGAAGTGAACTCACTTGATTGTCATATTGTATTGAAAAGTCAATTTTTCGCAATATGTGGCAGAACTACCGGAATTTTGTGAAAAGAAACTACTTCGAACTTTGAAATGGACTGGCGGGCAATAAACCAACACCAACCCCTGTTTTTTGGTGTCGTCAGTCACGACTAAATATTGACGATTTTAACATCCGTTCATATTCTTACCCTCACTAAGGTACAAGTGAGTGAACTCTATGTAAAAGTCATGGAAATTACTGAAGACCGACAGAAAATACTACCGTTTAGTGTTCAACCTGGTTGGTTGAGGCCTCTTAATTAGCAAAATACACAGCCCCGGATGACTCACCGGAACTGCTTTCATGGAAAGCTGTAACTATGGCCTTCGTCATTTTATCGTCATTTTATGATATCGTTCAACCAATCCGGAGACACTAACTCTCGGTAAGGTTTTCTTTCCTATTTGCAATATTTCAGTACCTGATTTTCAACGCAATGCTAAAAAATAATTGACTTACTACATTGCTGCAGGGCCGCTGCCTAGGTCGAAGCCAACAACCAGTTGACTATTCACCAGAGAAATGGAGATAAAATCCCCTCTTTGGTCAAATGAAAATCCGGAATAAATGAGTAGGCCGGTTTGCCTCTTAGGCAGAAAGGTTATTTCAAGGAGAGTTTCTGAAAACGACGTATCTTTGTACCCTTTCAAAGAAAGATATGAATTGCCAAGAAATTCCGGAATTACTGGCATTTGATCTGGGAAAAAAATTAAAAATAATCAGGAAAGGGTATCCAATCGAATCTTTGGAGAGATACTAGCAGTAACTTCATTTAAATTAATTGGGCAAAAACTACATGTATAAAAGGAAATATTTACAAATTCTTTATTTATTGATAACTTTTCAGTGTTGTGGGATTTAAGGGGCAGATATTTGAAGAATTTCACTTCTCTGTCAAAAACATTCAACGCCTGTTCAAGCACAAGCCTTCACCGCTCTTTATTATTCTTACCAAAGAAATGCTTCATGGGTACGGATAAGAAATCCAGCATTTTTTAAACGAAATTAGAATATCATTCATTTTTTATTGCATAAATGATACTATTTTCATAATTTGCACCACCGATTTCCATGGGGATTTTTCAGTTTTGAAATTACTACTTCCATGTCGAATTTTGGCAATTTTCTCCCTTAAAGTACACTTTGGGAGACCGACAACGTCAGTAATACTAAGAAACACGTATCTAAGTCGCTTTTGAGAAGATTCTATTTTGTTAATGGGCTGAGAAAATGAACATATACATATCTGTCAACACCCTTGAGAATCTTGCACAGACAAACACTTTAATTGACACATTGGGCTCAATATCTTACCCTTCCATTTATAGAAACAACATCGAATTGTCAATTACTTGAGTATCATTTAATTTCAATCATTATTCTGCAATCACCCCCTCCTCCGCGATCCAATAGCACCTGTAGGTTTTATTTAATCCAATTTTGCAAAAAAGCGACTGGGTTTAATTCCATTACTTTTCCAGCAGCTTAAGACTTCAGTCGCATTCAGAAATTGTTGCTCTCGTGGAGTATGCTCCAGGGACCTGAAACGGCGATAATGGGATGGGACCAGATCTTGCGAATATGCGAATGTGGTGGAGCCTCTAGTTTCAATTCCTGGATTTTTTTGAGGTTAGTCGTGCTGGGATGAGGTGAAGATGGAGGTTGGGATTATCATGTTAATAAATTGCCTCTTTTCTTTTAAATAATTTTGCACATTTAAAGCCGTTTTTAATGAAATTGTTAATAATCAAACGTTAAATTCCAACTGAAATGATTGAGTTTGGAACAATTAGTAAAAGATGCTAATAGCGATGTCACAAACCTAATTTGAATTTTAATAAGGTTAAGTTTAATGGAAATATTCTGATGCAAAGAATGAACATAGAATCGAAAGATTACTTAATACCATGGTTAAAATTAAAATGATAAAGTAAAATTCGATTCTTGTTGGTTCAAAGGTGATTTTTACTGTAACGCAATAATTTCTTTCCAGATTTATTTTGGACTCATAACCCTTTCAAAAGAGGAGAAATTGAACGTCATGTGAATGTGGTAAAACAAATGGATTGCCTTAGAATGTCCGCAGAAAATAAAATAATATTCTTTTCATTGCTGTGTAGACCATTTAGTACAGACAAAATAAACTACTTTAAATTCAAACATTCAGCGCCTGAACCATCCAAATATGAGTACTAAAAAGCGAATGGCTATAATCAGATTGGGAGACAGCGAACTTCAGTCAAAGTCTTTTTTAACTCTTTCCCAACAAAATTAAGGATGTTTGAATTAGTATATCAGGTAATGGCATGAGCATAATAAAAGCTAATTTACCATGTTTACACCATGGCGGGCTTGTTCCCAGAGGACATTGGCATACGTAGTCCGTTGCGGATACTGGTTTACAAGTAGCGTCGCTTTCACAGAGATGGTTGTTACAGTTGTGCCTTGAACAGTCAACTGTTTAATTAAAAAGATGCAAGTGATTTACATAACAACCTACTGAAAATTCAATAAGCAGATACTGACGTATTCCATATCCCGAAACAGCATCACCAACGAAGGAGCTTTGTCGAGGATCACAGAGATGCCCATTGATTACTATATCCCCAACACACCCAATCAGGGAATTTTCAGCAGCGGAGACAATGGGGAAGGGCTGACCGTTTGTCATACTCGAATGGCCGCCAATGAAGATCGCATTTTCACGAGTAAAGGAATTAATCAGCAATCCAAACCCTTCCTCTGAAATAACTGTTTCCTAAAAAATGGCGTGTTAATTGATGTGTAATTTATTGGGCTTTTTGTTCATTAATATCTTATCATCACCTCTGCACTGCTTATCCTATAACTTAATGATCTTCTTTTCAAAATCAACAAGATTCTCAATTGTTTTTCTTCCACTTGGGAGCAATAAATGATTAGTTGGATTGACTACAACAAATTTCATAAAGTAACAAAAATGCTGTTCAACATTTGCTTTGAATACATCATTAATTTAAGCTCATTTTAGCTTTTAGGAGTTTAGAACTCCATTTAGTAACGATTAACAAAGAGACAGACAAAACACGCCACTGACCCGCAATACCCCCAAGTTTGGCCAAGGTTTCTGATAAAAATGACCTCATTCAAAAGTTCGTGAGTTGAAGTTTATAATATTCCTATGCTCTAGACCCAACCATTAGACAAAGAGGTAAAAAATGCATTCGTTAAGAGGTCGTTCTCGAACCACTCAAAAATCATTTCATTCTACCCAAAAAGTGAATATGGGAAGTCTGAATGGAAAAATGCGTTGATACATTTCTCCTTTTTCATTCCTCACCCCCAGATCAATGTGGTTCACCTCATTATTCAGATGCATTCTCGAAATGGGTATCGGTAACACTAAAGTTCTAACCACTCACACGCTCCTAATTTATTTGCAATTTTTAGCTCAGTGCTCGCAAAAAAACCAGTATCCTTTACTCAAGTAGTTAAAGTGTGCAACTTGAACCCAAAGATCAGATCGTTAATGACTCTTTTACTCTCAATCGCTTAATTCTATCATATTAACTATGATAAAATTTCAAATTACTGCATAGGATAGCACGTCTTCCGAGATGAAAATTAACACAGTTTGTTTGCTTTGAAGTTAGAAAAGGCAGAGTTGAATGGGCTTTTAAAATAGATGTAACACCGATTATTTCTTAAAAACAGGCTCTGTATTTGTGTACGCTAGATTATTAAATTAAGCCATATTTACGCCTTCGAATAAGTCTTTCACATACATTCTTCGCAATTCCAATCGTATGAAAATTAAATTAGTGGTTATGCATCACAGTGGACAGAGATTAGAAGCACAGATTTACATCGGAACTTACCAGCACTCCAGTAACTTCGCGTTGATCTAGGGAAAGATATAGCTCATTCATACCCCTTAATCCAAAGGAGATATCAAAGAATTTTTTATTTATTCTACGCAATTCGGTTGAATGTTGAAGTAATCTTGATAGGTAGAAATATCCATCAATCGACTTATTGTAAATCCTGAAATATGAAGAAAAAAACGACTGTATAGCTAATTGATAGCTAATTGATCACAACTCAATTTCATGAGGCCGATTTCGCATCTTCTTTTTTGCTAGCTTTCCACATACACGCACGAAAACGCTCTTTTATCTGTAAATATCTGTTTACCGGCCCATTCACAAGTTGGAAAATGACCAATGAAACGAGTGCTCAAATTGACCCCTATTCGTAGATTAGCCAGTTTTCCATTTTCACTATTTGAGTAAATAATTTCATCTGTCTTGATTTATTGAAAGGGACTCACGCTGAAGGCCATCTTATGCTACCCATTCATGGGCGTACGCGTTGATGATATGATTTCTGTTGTGAAATACAATTATAGATCCATTACTGCTAACAGAAATGTCCTTAGTGTTAAGGTATAAAATTCTGAAATGGCTTAACTCAATTCACAGGGCCCCCAACTTACCAAAACACGGATATTACTCACAAAGGAGTCACTGATTTTGTTTTCCAGTTTCTTCAGTGTTGAAAGCATATGAAAAGATCAAATACCTCATCGCACCACCTACACAGCAATCTCTAACTTCCAAATTCGCTCTACCAAATGAATTGATGATCACTTCCCATCACGTCAGAGACAAGTCATTTGAAGCCATAGTTGAACTCCATTCTTCGAAACCTAGATCCCTAAACAATGTGCTCCAAAATATCGATCTTTAGATATTAAAGTAATGGCAGAAAATATGAAATAATAGTGCAAGGTGATGGCATGGCAATTTTGATCTCCATTCTATCTTTTAGGCATTCTTTCTTGTAAACATTCCATAAACGGCCATGCATTTGTCAGGTAGTAAGCTTCTCTTGTGAAATCAGGCGAAATTAAATGCACTAGGAGGTGAGACCAACAAGCGAAATAACCCTAATTATGCCCATAAACAACCAACCTCAATTGAAGTATCTCATTGTTCAGCTCCATATAGAAGGCCTGTGCACGAGATACTGAATAATGAAAGAAAAGCAGCGTTCTTGGTCGGAGTACATGGGGCCTAATTTGTAATGACACGGAAAATGGCCCAGTTTTTGGGAAAAGCCAGCCCCCGAAAGCCAGGTATCCACCATCCTGAATCTCTGGAAATCTGACTTGAACCGACTCTAAAAATGGATAAGTTTTGCCTGTCTTAAAAATGCGCGTGTATTTAACATATTTAAAAATTACTTAAGAAACGAGAAGTATTTACTTCATAAGACTGTTGTAATGTGTAGAGCTATTATACACTAATATAATATAATATAATATAATGCTTTCAAGATCACACTTGACTTAAACCAGGGGTAGTAAGAGAGAGGAATGCGGCTTCTTCAAGACCATCATAAGCTTGCCTGGTAAGATTTTGATCTCAGTCACGATTTAGTCTATGAGAGATGAAAGTAATCTTACTTGGTGCGTGGCTAAGGTAACACAAAAAAAACTTACATAAAACAGGAGCTTAGCAAGAAGAAAAAACCGGATGATGAAAACCTCCAGGGACTCCACTTATGAAATTATTTATTTACAGGCGTTAAAGCGCGTGATTGAAAATAAAAGCTCAAATACGCGGATACAGCACGATATTGATTCCTGTGAAGCGGAAGAACAGATCTTCACAGACGATTTCGCTGTCTCATGTTTATCTACTCATTAAGGCCATTTTTGTAGTTGTGAATAATCACATGAAAGCATCTCGATTGGGATTCACATAAGTAGATGATTATTGAGTGCTTAGGATTAAATTTCAGTAAACAGGTAACAGAGATGAAATAAGCTATTAGAGGCAATTTAGTTCGCCAAATTTCAAAAGTTTTCATATTTTTCCTTTTTTGAAAGAAATTATTAGAACAGAAGGAACTTTTCTTTATACGTATACAGTTGAGCTACTAATTCGAATTCAGCTAAACCAAATAACCCCATTTGACTGTTTAAATCACTATCAACAGTTGAATGCTAGGTCGCGCGCGCGTATAAAACCTTGATTATAGCATAGAGTTGAGGACCTTAAATATACCACCCAGGTTTTCCACGGGCGCTTATTTGGGGTTAAAAGTTAAAATGTGGTCCTACAGCTTCTCCCTATCTGGGACTGAAGCTTGACTGTCCCCATACGAAATGAATCATTCCGAATGCACAATACGCAATATACATATATGTTCTTCACGGGTGAAACATTTTACTTCTGTATTATTCGGGCAGGCAGTTATTTGGTTCCAAAAATAGTTTCATAAGTATAATTTTCCATTTAACCGCCCTGAGCGGATTACCAGAAAATCCCGGAAGATGATATTGTATAAATTCATTAAAATATAACACTAAGATCGAACAAATCGATTTTTTTCGAATAATATTCAGGTCTTATAACTGTTGAAATCAATTCAGCAATTTCATTTAATTTTTTTATTTTTAAAAATGGGAAAAGGCGGGCAGAACGCTGCACATTTTTGCTTGGTTACGGGAAGTCTAGTCGATGAACAACCCTAATGATTATTACTTTTATAAAGGTAAAAGTATGAAAAAAATATTTCACAAATGACTTACTTCGATCGCAAAACGTTCCTGAATAGCCCAATGGACAAATGCATATTCCTCTAGCTGTGCTTTTATCAGGTAGTGTAACAGTATCTTTGCAAATGCCGCCGTTTCCACAGCTTTTTCCTAAGAGACAATTCTCTTCCAGGGAAAATTTAGAAATCTCTTCCTCACTCTTCAATTCACTGGGATTTTCAATTTCTATCTCCATGGTAAGGGCAGCTTCATCTTCATCATTTGCTAAAATGGTAAAATTATGACCATTTGCGAAAAAAACCTACCCGAAATGAGATGACAAAGTAAAATTGTGGAGAGGCAGAAGTGGTAGAGTCTCATGGTATCTAAACATACAAGTAAGTCAAAGTTTTGGGAACGGTTTCCGGTCCAAGACAAAAACGCGAGTTTTAGCCAATAGTAACACTCCTCACCAATAAAGTGGTCGCTTTTTAAATAAACTGAGAGTATTTTAAGAAACAGAGAATTTGACTTCAACTTTGATGATTTGGATTCAGATAGAAGGCAATTATTTCCTCTGGATGAAAAATGTGTTTAAAGTTTATTCTTATTATTAACGCATTAATCAAGCTCAAAACTCTTAAATATTCAATCTGTTCATAAATCAAGAGTGGGTCAACAAATTCTCTGAAGAATTTCATAATTTATTTATTTCACAAGTAATTACATTACTTTTGCAGCATGGGCTCCATAGTTGTCCATTGACTTTTGTAATCTATACTTCCAAATATAGCTTCCCACGTGGTAGAATGTTTGGGACTGCCTCTGACTTGCATTTTTTCGTCATCTCATGGCATAAATCGAATGCCATTAAGGCGGTCTTTTAGTTTCGGAAACAAAAGAGTCTAAGGGAGCTGGGTCTTGTCTATAAGGAGGACGAGGAGATGTTCCTCATCGAAATTAGTGCAATAGGGCCTTTACAGCTCTTGAAAAACATGCAGAGGCGTTGCCACGAAGAAACACAATTTGATTGTGCAGTTTATCATGTCGCTTGGTGGTGAGAGATGTCTCCAACTTCTTCATAATAACTTGAGGTGACAGTCTTCTGTTCTTCTATAAAGTCTATCAATACGTAGCACATCTTTTGAATCACAAAAAATTGTGGCCATGGCCTTTTTGATGAGTGTATCAGCTTTGAACTTGTTAGTCCAAGTTGCTCCCTTTAGATGCTACTCTTCTGATTTGTTTTCGTATTCTGAAACAATCAGGTAGATACAAGCTTCATATCCGGTAACACAGCGCTTAATAAATTATACTCAATTACTTCCATTTTCACGAAAGTGGCTAATTAAAGTCCAGCTATTAGGCTCAGTCGTTGTTCTTACAGTGCTTTTGGAGCCCATTGTGCCCACCGAGAACTGAAAATGCTA